TCTTACAGTATGCTGAAGAGATGGAAAAGATGCGGACAAAAACAGCAAGTTCATACAGTTAGAACTCGCTACTGTTGTGCGCATCCATTCCACCGCTTTAGCATGCTGTAAGAAAGTTAAAGAGAAGCTGCCAGTACGTTATTATCGCGTCCTAATGTTTCATACGTCTTTTGTCTCGGTTTCTTGTCGTCTCGTCTCATCGAGAAACCGGCAACCGGCAATCATCTTATGATCTCGTCTACTTTTATACTTCTAAATAAAGTTTTTCGTGCATTTGTTGCAGTAGAATACGAGGTAAGTAGACTTATAAAAATTGTACATATATATAGATGACGTAACTTTGATAGATTTTGATGAGAAAAGAAAGTTGAATACGAATGAAAGAGAAATCATTATTATGACACATTTGTAACATAATATAATCCATTGCCGCAGCTGTCTCCACGTTCATTGTCTTTACAACATGTTCTACNAACATTCTTCAGCATTTCGACAATGAAATGGATGAATTTCGGATCTCTCTAAATAACAACAGCTTCTCGAAGATTCGAGAGAATTATGAGATTTACTCATAATTCTCTCGAATCTTCGAGAAGCTGTTGTTATTTGGAGAAATCCGAAATGAGATTTACTCATAATTCTCTCGAAATAAGTTTATTTACTCATCCCGCGCCTTTTTTTCCCGTGAAATTTTTCGCGCGTACCTATTACTGGCCTACAAGATCTCCTCTTGTAATCCTCTCTCTTAAAACCATCTCTCACCCACATGCTTCAACTCCGTCTTCTCTCTTTCTTTCTTTCTCTCTCAGTCTCTCTCTCTCTTTCTTTCTCAATGCTCTTTAGTCTCTCGGCGTGTTCGCGCGCGCGTGTCTAATCTCTTACTCTTATGACGTCAAGCACCCTCCATGGTCATCCAGAATTCACCCTTGCCACCCTTGCTCCCAATCTGGCACAAATTTGCATGGAATCCTTCCCCGGAAGCTGACGCCTGTAAATAAAATTACCTGGAGCATCAATCCACCGCAGTTAAGTAAGTATCAGTAGTGATTAATATATTTCTTAAACATGTCTAAATAGAAAAAAGTAAATAGAAAAAATAATATACGTGCAAAAAAGATAGCTGATGTATATTTTAATATATCGAATCTACTAATGATTTATCTTTATTAACTATACTTGTACAATCCAATTCACTGCTGCAGCTGTCTTTAGTATTCATTGTCTCTACATTTTTTGCTTAATTTCCACAAATTTTATTTTATAGTATTTCAACGATAAAATAAATTAATTTCAGATATCTTGAAATAACAACAACTTCTGGAATATACGAGAAGAGAATTTTCGAGAGAATAACAATACTGGAAATAAACTATTATCTATATACAGGGTGAGTCATCTGAATCTATTACCTCCAATAACTCGTTTGTGTGGCCAGGAATCGAAAAAAGTTTCATATAAAAGTTGTAGGGTTTCGAGGGGGAACCAAAATGGCGTACCTTTAACTTTTGATTNTGACCGAAAGTGGGTTACTTCAACCGGAAGTGGTTTTTTTAAAATGGAAACCCCCCTTTTTGACACCGGAAAATGAAAAAGCAAAAAATTTTACGTTCAGATATAACCTTGGCAGTTCTAAAATTTTCAAGATAGCGAACGAAGATGGCGGACAAAAATTTTAGTCAACCGATTTGCACCAAATTAAGTTTACGAGGGTTTTTGGGGTTGCTGATCACGAATCTGAAGTCAGATTTGCAAAATTCAAAATGGCGGATTCAAGATGGCGGACCAAGCTGGCGGACAAAATTTTTAACCAAAATTAATAGAAATTACTACTCTTAGCACTACCCAGGAACAACGGCGTGGACGTGGTAGTTTTTTGTTCCCTTTGGGGTGCTTTATTTTCGTGAGTCTTCTTGCCTCTCACTATCGGGGTGCTTTATTTACGTGAGTCCCTTTGCCTCTCATTATCGGGGTGCTTTATTTACGTGAGTCTCCTTGCCTCTCACTATCGGGGTGCTTTATTTATGTGAGTCCCCTTGCCTCTCACTATCAGGGTGCTTTATTTACGTGAGTCCCCTTGTCTCTCACTATCGGGGTGCTTTATTTAGTTAATTTGTAACTTCAAACAGTTAATTCGCTATGTAGTACACTTAGCGAATTAACTGTTCGAAATTCCGTCCATTTTCTTGAATGCATAGGTCGATACCATCATGAATATGATGTTAATGATAATCGTGTTATAACTCTACCAACTCCCGTGTACAAAATTTGGTGAAAATCGGTTGACTTTCAGACATTCATAGTTATGCGCGACTAGTTCGTATGTAGCTCTTCCGCTAGGTTGCTATGACCATGACTATTATCCTGCAATCATAAAGCAGACGTGAATGCTTAAATAGCAACGATATCTCCGCTTATTTGTATCTATTGAGAAATCAATACTTTTAGAACTCAGGTAATTTCTTATCTTTAATATGACAGCCTACCCACCAAACAAAATCGTGGACATAATCAAAATATTGGGGGAATGTAGGAATAATTTTTCGAGAGCTGAACGTCTGTATGCTCAACGTTATCCTGATAGAAGGCATCCAACTAGGGTAACCATTAAAACCTTTACGCAGAGAGCAAGTGATTGGTCTATGGTTCGCCGATCACGACATCATGAATATGATGTTAATTTTTCATTTTCCGGTGTCAAAAAGGGGGGTTTCCATTTTAAAAAAACCACTTCCGGTTGAAGTAACCCAGTTTCGGTCAAAATCAAAAGTTGAAAAGTACGCCATTTTGGTTCCCCCTCGAAACCCTACAACTTTTATATGAAACTTTTTTCGATTCCTGGCCACACAAACGAGTTATTGGAGGTGATAGATTCAGATGACTCACCCTGTATATAGAATATCAATTCACTGCAGTAAGTACCAGTGATAATATATTTTTTTTCAACATGCCTAAAGTAAATAAAAAATATTATATACGTGCAAAAAAGATAGCTGATGCAAGTGTTAATATCGTGGATTCTATTAGTGATTTATCTTTATTACCTATGAACACATCTTTAGTTGGAAATAATAGTCTATCATATAGCATTCATAATGATACATTACTTAATACTGATAAAAACATTTTAGATAATGAAGATAATAATGATGCAAATGATTTTGATAGTTACATTAATGATGATGGTGCAGATGATAATAATAGTTACATTAATGATAACAGTACAGTAAATCACAATTTTTTAAATAATATTGAACGTTGTGAGAATAATAATGTAAGTATTACATTCCAATTGCAAGGATGGGCGATTAGAAATCGGATANCTCACGTTGCATTAAATGAATTGATGTTATATATAAAACCTAGATATCCAGAACTTCCTCGAGATGCTCGTACTTTATTAGGCACTTTGAGAAAAATACATACAGATGTTGAACCAGGACACTATTATCATTTTGGGATAAATCATTGCGTAGAAAAACTTATAGAAGCTTCGCAATATTCCTTTAAAAATTTACAGATAATTGAAATTATTGTTAATATTGATGGCTTGCCTTTATCTAAAAGTTCGGGGAGTCAAGTCTACCCTATTTTATGCAGTTTGGTTAACAATTACAACAATGTTGGCATTATTGGAATTTATCATGGGTATGAAAAACCTGCAGACGCTAATATATTTTTGCAATCTTTCGTAAAAGAAGCTCAAAATTTGGTTACCCATGGTGTAACAGTTAATGGAATAATATATCCATTTAAAATTAAAGCATTCATTTGTGATGTTCCAGCTCAGTCTTTTACAAAATATAAAGTGTGTGATACTCTAAAAACTTACCTTTTTAAAAAAAGGTAAAAACAGGCGCCAAGTACACGCACAACACGTATTGTATTT